CCCCCAAGGACAGGTCCTAGGACTGGCAGTCCTCTTTAGACTGACACAGGAGTGCCTCTTGTTTTCCAGCGAAGCAACCCCCTGCAACAGTAAAAAATCCCACTTAATATCCTGTTCTACAACCCGTAGTTCAACTGGCCTTCTGCCGCAGCTCTCCAAACTCTGATGACAAAAGTCAACTTCGAGTTCAGTTTGCCTAATTCTGTGGTCACAGCTGAAAATCTCAAGGAGCTATGAAGTACACAAGACGGGTAGAAGCCCGAGAAAAGTCAGCAGGGTGTGCAACAATGCAGAACGAAACAATTCGCGACTCTCGCCACAAAATGTGCCCAATCTGACCAAGGCAAAAGCCAAAACCAAAACCGGGTGCCTTCTCTGGGAGCGTGATTCCCAAGAGGCAGGAAGGAGTGTAGTGGGCAGGGGGGGGAGGGGAGGGTATGGCAAACCAGGAGGAAAAAGAGAGGGGGGGCGGGGAAGGAGAGAGACTGTGAGTACAGCAAGACACTCTCTGCTTTCATTCTTGGTTCCCATGGACACAACCCAGAGGAGCGCTGTGGGCCCCGCTCTGGGAGGGCTGGAAGCTGGCAGGCTTCCTCAACTCACAGAGCTATTTAGAGCCCTGGGATTGGTGCCCGTGTCCGGGGAGTTAGCATGCCTGTGCAGGGGAGGTGGCATTGGAGAGAGCTTAAAGCGTATTCAAACATTCTCCCCCCGCCCCGCCCGGCCTCTCCCGCCTCGCTCCTCAACACCAAACTCCTAAATTTTCTGAAGGAAAACAAGTGCATTAACCCAGTCTCAGCCTGACGCCACAAAAGATACAAGCAGCATTCTCCCGGTGAGCAACCTGGCTTTGTAGGTAAGTGCCACTCACCTGTCCTTTGTTTAAAGTTCAGTCTACACTGTGCTCGCTTCGGCAGCACATATACTAAAGTTCAGTCTACACTTAGACTATAAAGCGAGCTGTCTTAACGCGTCCTTCCTGGGCCCTGGCCTTATCCTCCCTTTCAACACCAAGCTTTCTCCTGCATTATTACCACCAAAGCTCCATTGATAGCGATGCCTTTATATCCTGGGCACATATTGTGCTCTTAGCGCTGAATATGTTATTGCAAAGGACTCCAAGACCAGGAAGGTGTGTCCGGCCTGCGTGTGCGATAGAGTTCCCCAGAGGACGAAGCCAGCTTGGGCTTGGGGATCGGGGGACAAGAAGGGCAGAGACCACGGGGCTCTGAAAAGACGGGTGAGGGCGTCCCACCCAAGCTGTCTCACCAGTGCCGCCCAGACTGCTGGTCTGGGATGCCTGCACCGTTTTGTGACCAGTAGGTCCCGACCCTTCCATATTCGAAATGTTGATTGTTGAGATTTGGTGTGGATCCTTGGATTCCACAGCCACAAGTCTGAAAGCCCCCTTGGGAGTAGACACTGTGACTCAGTCACCACCACCCTCAGCACTTAGCATAGCACCTAGCACCTGGTAGGCTAACAGGCTGCGTGGACCCATGCATGTGTAATGAATGAACACAAGGGGCCCCAGAATGTCTCCGCCTAAGTCCCAGATCCTCTCTAGACCCCTGAGCAGGCTTTTTGGGGAGGCTTCAAGGAATAGAAGGATCTCTTTTATTGGGTGCATCATGCCTTAGAGATGTAAAGTGTTTCTATTTTTTTCCCAAAGAGTTATTCGTATGCTTGATCTTCACGGCAGTGTGACTGGGGCCCTGGGGGACCCTATCATCTATCGCTATCTTATTGACAAGGACACTGAGCCTCAGAGCAATGATTTTGCCCTCAATCTGGGAATCCATTAGGATAGGGCAAAATTTCCCAATGGTGTGACTTCATCAAACGCTGAAAACTGATTGAAAGCCAGGGGTCTGGGTCCCCGTCTTGCTCTATCGGGTGAATCGCGGGGCCTGGGGAGAATCTTGTTTTACTGCCCCTAGATCGGGAAGAGGATGGAGAGGCACATGGTCGGGGGGCCTCTGTGTAAGCACTTCGATTTGGAGAGGAAGAACGCCAGGCAGGCCGACGCCAGGCTCAGCCAAAGACTGCAGAGACTGGAGCGGGTCTGCCTCTACCACATGAAGCTGCTGACCCGCGAGCAGAGACAGCTCCAGAAAGAACTGCAGAGGCTGCAGGAAGGTGAGGCCTCCGGCTCTGGGGAAAGGCAGGGCGGCGAGCCATCGGGCTGAGGCCAGAGTGACACCGTCACCTCCTAGGAGGGCTCTCTCAGAGGCCTGAATCCCAAGGAAGCAAGACCCTGACCCGACCTGGATTTCAGGCTGCCCTCCCTTCCACAGCCCTCCTTCCTCACGTACACAGCTCGCTGGAGAGGCTCACACAACAAGCCTTTTTGAGCTAATACCTCTCAGGCTTCCAGTCACTTCTGTGTTTCAGATGAGCTCTGCCTCGCTTAAGTGCTTCATTTCCTTCTTTCTTATGTCTCCTTCCGCTGTCCTTTCACTACATCTGGGTGGATTTGGTTTCACCTCTTTTTTTTTTTTTTTTTACACCTGGGCAACAACCATGGATTGAGCAACTGTTAATGCGCAAGCCGCCTTAGGAAAGGGAAGTGAAAACAGCCAAAAAAAAGACCCCCGGGCTTAGCGACCACAGAGCAGTTATCCTCGAACTGATGGCCACCCTCCCACAGGGCTGAGGACAGAGCATTCCGCCATTTTCAACACTCTCCAATGTTGGAGACACGGAGGGCCTCCTTGCCTTCTGGGCAAAAGGAACTTCTCAACCACCCTTCTTGGGCTTTAACGTGTGTTCCCACTAGAGCCTCCAGATCTGGCTTCGATTAGAAAATTTCAAATAAGCCATCGTCGTGTATCGGTACTGTGTTTTCTTTGACTCCATGAGCCAAGGGGCAAATATTTCTGTCATTTTCCCAAAGAGGCCTCTTTACCTATAAGCTGTGTGCTCCCATTCTTGATAACATTGCTCTTCCAAAACACCCCCAGTCTCCACAGAATAACCCTTTCCAAATATATACGTCACTTAGAAGGCTATCTGGTTCCCAGAGACTATAGCGTTAAGTAGTGATAACAAAAATAATGTAACTAACTTCAAAAACTAGTTTCTGGTTCGTAGCTACTGGTCATCCCAGAACGAAGGACTACACAGTGGTGTCCAGAATCTCGGACTTTCCAAAGCTGTCTACACCATTCAGTAAAAATTGAGAAGGAGAACTCCCTTCTCAATGATCCCATTAAAACATGGTGGCTTGGGGCATCTGGGTGGCTCAGTCAGTTAAGCGTCTGACTCTTGATTTTGGCTCAGGTCACGATCTCACAGTTTGTGAGTTTGGGCCCCCCCTTGGGCTCTGTGCTGACAGCACAGAGCCTGCTTGGGATTCTGTCTCCCTCTTTCTGCCCCTCCCCCTCTTGTTCTTTCTCTCTCTCTCTAAATAAAAATAAACTTAAAAAAAAAAAACATGGTGGCTAAGAACATAGACTCTGGACCCAGACTGTCAGGGTTGAAACACTGACTCTGTCACTTACTAGCAGTGAGGCCTTGGGTGGCTTGCTGGACCTGTCTGTGCCTCAGTTTCCTCACATGTAAAATGGGAAAGATGTTCCCTACCTCGTGAAGTTATCTGAGGATTCAGCAAGCACTTGGAACAGCACCTAAACACACAATCAGTGTCATATAAGTGTTTTCTCCTAGGCCTTAATCAATCAGTCAATAAAAGATGATTACAGGATTAAACCTTGCTACTGCTTTGTTGAAAATTGCCACCGTTGTGTAGTTTATAGAAATCGCATCCATCCTTGAAATAATTAGGTTGTGATATTACTTCAAAATTCAGCATGCATGGGGGAGGGGAAGGAAAAAAAAAGTTAGAGAGGGAGGGAGCCAAACCATAAGAGACTCTTAAAAAAAAACTGAGAATAAACTGAAGGTTGATGGGGGGGAGGGAGGGGAAAGGGGGTGATGGGCATTGAGGAGGGCACCTGTGGGGATGAGCACTGGGAGTTGTATGGAAACCAATTTGACAATAAATTTCATTAAAAAAAAAAAAAAATTCAGCACGGAAAGGATCCACCCCAGCTCAGCAAAACTACGGCCCTTCTCACTGAAGGCAGGTGCCGGAACTCAGAAGCTCTGAAAATGCTGCAGCGTGTTCCAGAGGAAAACCTGGCATCGTGAATCAATGTAAACGTGTTTAGGTCTACACAGCTAATATGTGGACATAGGAGTGAAGAGCAATGTCCAAACAGCTGGTCTGGGGATTATTTCTAACCCAGGTTGGGTCTGAAAGATGACTCAGAGCAAGTAGCTGAACTTCTCTGCTTTCCATTTCCCTGTCTTAAATGGTTACAACAAACTAGACTAAGAGCTCACACGCTGGCAAAGAATCTTCGAAGCCATCTGGCTGAATCCCACTTCCATTCTCAGAAAGGACACTGAAGGCCATATACCTATTTTCAGGGAGGGGGCGCTGGTCATGCAAAAGGCCAGGCCCCGAGGTAGGTGGCTGTGCTGGCTGAGTAGAGAGTTTGCCCCAGCGGCAGGGGGTGTGGGGAAAATCTGGACCAGGAGGCAGAAAACTGACTCAGGGGCCTCCAACTCTACGTCCTTCAGAAAGTTATATCCTCTCTAACCCTCAGACTTTTAGATGGTAAAGTTAAGGGAAAGGGGAAGAAATAATATATATTAAGTCTCAGTATTTATCAGGCACTGTACTAGGCGGTGTTTTCCCATGATTCACTCACCAAAATTGTTACTGAGATTCAACTATATGCCAGGTGATGGACTGTCTAAAGTGCATATTCCCAGCCCTCATCTGTAGAGATTTGGATCGGCAGGTTGGGAATCAGGCTCAAAAATCTACATTCGCAACTGAGGTGGTACTAAGGCAGATTATTCTGGGACAGGTATTTCGTGGACCGGACTTTACAAAGCACTGTGACAGCTACTCCCATAGATGAAGGAATGTAAATGTGAAAAAAACAAAACAAAACAAAAAACCATGGTCTGTGCCCCCTTCGATGGTCACATTTGATTTGGAAGGTAGCGGAGCTTGTGAAAAAATTATGATACGAGATACTAATTACTAAATTAGAGTTATTTGCATAGTAGGGCACGAGTATAAGACGATTCCTGTGTCTGTCAAAGGAACTGAGGTGAGATCTCCCCCAAAGAGGCAGAGTGTAAGCAGAATCTCAGAGGAGGGGAAGAATGAAGGGGTGGGGGGGGGTGTGGTTTGTCACGAGCACATGTGGAGTGAGGCTGCTCCTGCGAGAAGGAAGAGCACATACAAACGCGTGTGCATGAGTGCACAAGGCTTGCTACAAACAGCCCGGTACTGAGGAGGCTAAGGGGCGAGGAGAAGATGAGGGAGGCGCTGTGTAGACGCAAAGCGGTGTAGACAGTGTCTCTGATCATGAAGAGGGTGATGGGTCTTCCAAAAGAGTTTAGATTTCACCCTATCGCGAGTGGGGAGAGGACACATTCCCTCTGGCTGCAATGTTTAGGAGAATTCCAAAGCCCAGGCCTAAACTAGGGAATCGGCCAAGTGAGGAAAAGAAGTATTTTGCGATATCCAGAAAGTGGAATTGTCAGAGCTTTGTGATTAATTATGCGTCCAGGAGGAACTAAAACCAGAGTCAAGAGTCTATTGCCTGGCACAGGGCAGGCATCCAAACAGCCTCGTGAGTTGGATAGCTGGATGCGTACAGGTGGCATGCCTCCACAGGAGAACCCTGGAGAAAGATCAAGTTTTGGAGAAAAGATACATTCATTTCTGAGCCTGTTGGCCCAACAGGGCTAAACTGCAGACGAATGGCCTGGGCGGGAGAAGTAGCTTAAAATCTCCTGGCTTATAGGAAATAGATGCAGTTCTTACATGGTTCAGACCTACACACATACAGGCAGGCACGCACACACTCAAGCAGGTGACGGAGGAAGAAGGGCTCACAAAAGACTGTCTCTTGTCTCGACTACCTTCTAAGGCAATGATCGGATGAAACAGTGTTAGGAGATGAATGTGAATTCTAGTCCCCTCATCTGGACATGTTCCCTCTGCCCGGTGCCTGCTAACCCCGGTGCAGGTTCAGGGAACCCACTCCCATTAAAGCAAACCAGTGCAAGACTTTCAACCCCAAGTGAGCGACTCATGAGGTGTCTTGAAAACTAACTGGGTCCTCCACAGCGACCATGACTCCAAGATGCCGAAACATTTACTCCAAGAGTGAAAAACCCACTTAATCATAGCCAGCAGTTGCCGCTCGTGGTTTGGGCGAGAAGGAGGTCACATAATTGAGGTGAACGAAACAATAGGGCGCCATCTCTGGGTATCGCTCACACCTAGTTATTTTGCCTTGAAAACACCAGGCTTGCCAAATACAACATTCAAAAGCAAACCCTCCACGGGCCTCACAGCCGGTTTAAACCTCTGATCTCAGTGTTTCTAAATCCTTATTAACATGTTGTAGCTGGGGAATAGCTGTAAGGTTTTCTGTCTTCATCCATCATGGCAGATCAGCCTTATGTGTATGTGGGTCAGAGGGTATTCACCTGCTCCTTCTTTGCCCAGAGACCAGCATCCTTTCCCTTCTTCTCTTACTAGATTAGTTTTTAGGGCTTCCATAAGAGAGAACCACTAACTGGGTGACTTATTTATTGTCACATGGTTCTGGAGGCTACAAGTCCAAGATCAAGGTGTCCGGAAGGTTGATTCCTTCTGAGGCTGTGTGGGAAGGACTTCTTCTAGGCCTCTCTCCTTACAGTGTCGATGGCTGTCTTTCCCCTACATCTCTTCACACTGTCTTCCCTCTGTCTGTGTCTGTGTCCAAATTTCCCCCTTCTTATAAGGCTACCAGTCCTATGGATTAGGGTGCCCCCTAATGACCTCATCTTAACTTGACTATCTCTGCAAAGGCCCTATTTCCAAATAAGATCACATACTGAGGTGCTGTGGGGATTAGGACTTCAACATGTGACATTTGGGGAAGACACAATCAACCCATAACACTTATGCATTAACTCAAAGCAGACATTGTCAAGAAAAAGCTCTCCTCTGATTTGCGGAATGGAATTCAGAAGAGACCAGAAGACGTCCTTGTGTCCTCACCACCAAGAGGGAAGAAGCATGGAGGTCCACACACTAATAACGTTAGGTAAGAAAATGCTTGCTAAACTCATGGCGATGTCATTGAATCCCTCTTCCCAACTGACCTCCCAAAGTGATCCTCTCCCTGAGAAAATGCTGCCTTTTCTCCTTAAGCAACAAGACACTTCCCCATTCTGTGACCACCCCCTTCTCGGCCACTTCATTACCTCAGCCGATACCAACTGAAGGGGACCATGGTCTGACAACTGGAAAACTCAAAATATAGGCCGTCTTGTTGTTTTTCACAGACCTTTCTTCTTTTTACCTCCTTCCCCAGAGTGCTGGCCACCAACATGACCCAACAAATGTACAGAACTAAGTCCCAGATGCCTCTTTTCCATCACGCTGGCTTCAAAGACGCCACGAAAAGCAAAGAGCAGTCGCTATCTCAAAATTACAGAGCTTCTCACTTCACAGCCGAGAAGCCACAAGCCCAAGAAAAAGATTTTATGAGCCCACCAAAAGGCAAAGACTCCAACAAGGGCATCTCTATTCTGTGTCAACATCAAGACGTCTCCATCAACACCCTAGACCAAGGCCCTGGTTCCAGCCCAGTTTGTGAAAGTGGAACAGCACACATGGATGAGACCAGACCAAAGGATGCCAGCCTAAAGCCAGACCCCAATGCTGCGAAACAAAGTCCCTTGAATCCCATGGAATGTGCAAGAAACTTGAAAGGCGAGTCCATAACACCTACCTTCTTAGAGCTGTTTGCTAAGGTCAGAAATGCCCACTACCTCCGGCACAGGGTCCCCCCGGAGTCTGAGAGATTGCTTAGCATTGGGGAGATATTCGGGCACAAGGAATCCTTACAGCCCAGAACAGGACAGGAGTGTAAGAACAGGGTGAGCATCTAATTTCCTTCCTCTCTAACCACCTAGTGTAACCTCACAATAACTTGCTAAAAAGATGTATTCCTCAAGTAATTGTATATATACATACACATATATAGGTACACACACACACACACACACACACATACATATATGTCAATTTTATTTTAAACCCTCAGGTTTTTCTTTTTTTTCCTTTTACAGGGATATAATCTCTCACTGAATGAGCAATACAAGTATACAAAAAAGGAGGGGAGAGATGAATCTTCTGACAACACTTTAAGGGATGCGCATATGTTGCGGATGTCATCAAAAATATGAATCTACATCGACGACTAGACTTTTTTCGAAAGGAAAAATATGAAGGGTCCTGCTTATGTTGGCCACCCTTTTCTTATAGGAAGTTCTTATGGTGCCACCTTCTGGCACAATGACATAGCTCTTCTCTTCCAGTTCACCTCTAACATCCATGCGGGGAGAGGGACTCAGTTGGAAACAGTTACCATCACGCGGTCTATAATTAAAACCTGCTCTCTCCTGCCACAGCCCTGGGCTCATCGAAAGTCCTTGCCTCACCTCTTTCCTTTCCACGTGGCTCCATTTTAGCTTTCTCATTCTCGTTTCCACGTGCTCATATCACACTTTCTGGATCCTAATAACAGAATAATACACAATTTACAATATTTCCTCTAACATCTGACGTTTCTCTCAAGAAGCAAAGCAACAGAGGAAGGCGGGCCGGGGCGACAAAACCGATTCGTGGATACTGAATGTATTCACACTGGCCCATGACCAAGCTAGCAGGTACAGGGTCACATAGTTTACAGAACCCCTCTGCAAAGTGCCCCCAGCCCTTTCTTTTACGTCCGTCCTTCGTTCTTCCTCCTTGTCTTCTGCTTAAACCCCATCTGTCTCCATTACAATCACCCTCCAAGGGTGAATTTCCAAAAATGATTTACCCTACTTCTACGTGAGCCTTTTCTCTGGCTCAGCCACTGGAGGACGGGCCATCACCAAGGCAGCCGGGAGCGTGGCCCCAGCCTGAGCCTCTGCTCCACATGCCATCAAATCCTCCACTCCAAGGACACCTCCGTCTTGTGAGCTCGAGAAATAAATATTCTGCACATGCCTCCTCATAACTGTGCTTGTGTCTTCATAGACCTGACGGGCCCGGATCTGTCTGTGCTTCTAACGCCAGTATTTTGGACACGCTACTTTGAATGACATGTGATGCATTGCCACAAAATTGTGCATTTCCAGGGTGGCTTAGTCGGTTAAGCGTCCCACTTCGGCTCAGGTCATGATCTCACGATTTGTGAGTTCCAGCCCCACATCGGGCTCTGTGCTGACAGCTCAGAGCCTGGAGCCCGCTTCGGATTCTGTGTCTCCCTCTCTCTCTCTGACCCTCCCCTGCTTGTACTCTGTCTCTCTCTCTCTCTCTCTCAAAAATAAATAAAAAACATTTTTTTAAAAAAAGAAGGAGGAGGAGGAAGAGAAGGAGAAGGAAGAGCAGTTGAAATCCCTGGGCTTCACAGGGCATATCAAGCTCCAGGATGGCTTGTACCCAGTCATCCTGAAGTCACTCATTCATACCCTGGTCTCAGCTGGGGATACACGTGCTCCCCAAAAGACATTCGGCAGTGTCCAGAGACAATTCTAGTTGTCACAACCCAGGCAAGGGGTTTAAGAAACCCCAACCTATATACCGTTGCATTAAATCTTTGCAAAACCCTCTGAAGGGTAGGAAATCCGTGAGACGACCGCTTCTGTTTTACAGAAAAGAAAATCGAGCCTCATGATAAGCCAAGCGACTCTCTCCGTTCCAGAGTGTGACTGAGGCACAAAGGTCAGGACGCTGCTTTCCTGTCCTAACTTCTCTCTCAGAAAGGGGGTGGCGGGGGGAGGGTCGTGGCACAGTTGTCCAATGGCTTGTGTCCTCATTTTCACTTTGAAATACTTTCTCCCTATAAATAAAAATCTTAAACAATCAAATTAGAAAGAAAGGGTGAAAAGGAAAACTGAGTACTTCAATTTTGAGGGAATATGACACTTTTTACTACATCCATTCATGTATTTAGAGATCTATTGAGGAGCCCCCCCGCCCATGAGGAAAAGGGGGCTTTCACCTTGATACCTGAACCCATCCAATGGGCAGGGGAATCCATGCTTCACCTGTAGGCAGAGGCACCTGGAAACTCTGAGGTGGTTGCTCAGCCTCTTGCCCAGGGTCCCGAAGTTCTGGAGGCTGTTGAGAGGGACCCCAAAGGTTCCCACAACCCGCAGTGACTAGGTAAGTTGCTACCAGTAACTCTGGAGCAGCAGCCCCCCTGAGGGTGAAAGCCCCAGAGGCAAGGCGAAGGGAGGAGAACTTGGAGGGCGTCGCCCCCACACCAAGAACCCCAGGAGAGCAGAGGCTCAGTCCAACCAAACAGACGTCAACGGTCCCACATCACCAGCAACAGCCACCAGCATAGCAAGAACTGCTGAAAAACAAAGGAAAGCCAGGACACCTGGGTGGCTCAGTCGGTTGAGCACCTGACTCTTGATTTCGGTTCAGGTCATGATCCCGGGGTCGTTGGATCGAGCCCTGCCTCAGGCTCCACGCTGAGCATGGAGCTTGCTTGAGATTCTCCCTCTCCCCCACTCATGAGCTCTCTCTCTCTCTATAAAATACATTTTTTAAAAAATTAAAAAACAAAGGGAAGCCAGGGATGTGTGAGCCAAGTCCTTCCCTCGCCCGACCCGACCCGACCCCAGCCCTGTGCAGGCGTTGGGACACTGAGGGCAGAAGGAGGGAGACAGAGGAGGTCCAACCTCACACTTGTGCTGAGCCCAAGCTGCACTGGGGTGGGGAAGAAAGACTTTAAACCGGAAGAGGACCCAAAGTGATAATATCTAATGTGGTCGAAGAATGTCTACCAGAGATGAAACTTGTAAAACAGCAGTGACCGGAAGTTGTCAGATCAGACTGAGGTCGGATTAAGCCAAGCTGGTAGCAGTTACCAGGAGAAGAGCCCCCCCACCCCACCCCACCCCACCCCATCCCGTGGTTACACATCATCGAGCTGGGATTTCTCAGTCCACTCTACATGGAACAGCATCGTGCTGAGAAACATTCAGCAAGGAACACACGTGCTTATTACACAACCTCATCTCAGATGGGGCTGGGGATGTGGCTCACCTGAGACTTATAGGAGAAAATTTCCTTAATTAGATGTTGTATGAACTAGGCACCAGTCCTCCCATAGTCCTGCCCCTGCTGTGAACGTGCTCTGGGTCCCAACAGCTGCATCACTTAGAAACTGTGGATGAGGGGCGCCTGGGTGGCGCAGTCGGTTAAGCGTCCGACTTCAGCCAGGTCACGATCTCGCGGTCCGTGAGTTCGAGCCCCACGTCGGGCTCTGGGCTGATGGCTCAGAGCCTGGAGCCTGTTTCCGATTCTGTGTCTCCCTCTCTCTCTGCCCCTCGCCTGTTCATGCTCTGTCTCTCTCTGTCCCAAAAATAAATAAACGTTGAAAAAAAAAAATTAAAAAAAAAAAAAAAAAGAAACTGTGGATGAGATGTAATGTAATCAGTTCAATTACTTTGAATTGCTCAAGTTTAATTCCCTTCGAGTTGCACCACGAAGCTGGGCCAGGAACAAGCCTTCCCAGGAAAAGGAAAACACGTGCAACTATACATATAAAGACTCCAAACACACTTAACACACGTTGCTTGGAATCAAACCCAATGTTAGCATGGGGCTTCTCAACTCAAAACTACTTGTAATAAAATATTATTCCAAAAGTGTGTGACAAAGAGAAAATGTAGGCAAGCTATCGATAAACATGTCTAATTCTGCAATTCACTGCTGGGAATTTTTTTTCATGTTTATTTAGTTTTGAGAGAGAGAGGAGGTGGAGGGGCAGAGAGCAAGGAGGACAGAGGATCCGAAGAGAGCTCTGTGCTGACAGCAGCGAGCCCGATGTGGGGCTCGAACTCACGAACCGTGAGGTCATGACCTGAGCCAAAGTTGGAAACTCAACCGGATGGGCCACCCAGGCGCCCTACTACTCGGAAATTTTGAACACTCTTGCTGAGGACTATTTGTGCATGTTGAGGCAAAAGAAATGAGACAACAGACAATATGTTCAAAAGCAAAGGATAAAAGCTAAGACTGCAGGAGGAGGTCTGACAGTGCGGGAGAAGCCACCGGAAGTGGGAAGTAGGCTCCTACATGGCCATCATTGGGGCCTCAGCCTGTTCCCCACTTCCGGCTAAGCCCTAGCAAATAGGATGGTATGAGCAGAACAATGAGCGATTCCAACAGTTGTCTTAACATCATTACATAAAACGTTAGGTAGAATGTTGTAGAATATGTGCAAGCATTCATATTTGAAAGATAATTTCCCTAAAGACTTTTCCTTCATTTTCTTAGGGGGTACGCACTCACACAAACACTCACACACAACACTCTTCTAACCTGGCCGTGAAAGCCAGGTGCCCCATGGTCTCGGGGCACCTGGGCTGGTTCACTACAAATGCTCCCACTAACAACATGGCAGCTCTCGGCATGTGGGTGGGAGGTGGTGGTGTTTCAGGGGGCTTCATCCTCAGTTTCAGATATGAGATGTGAACAGTCGACCTAATACGCGTTTCACATTCTAGCAAATTTGGTAAAAATTTTCAGCAGTGTCTTCATCCAGGTCCATCTGGAAGCGAAAGCAAAAATAGATATAATTTGGTCTTAAAATTAAAGGAAAACGAGATTAATAGAATTTGGATTAAAATGGGTGGTATTTAACATGTATAGGAAGGGTGGAAAGCTATAAATTGGAAAGAGACCAGCGAGTTGGGCTCCTCTAGGAATTACTGGCAGACTGAAGACATGTGATCTCATGGTCCCAACCCTGTCCCTTACCAGGTCAGCTGGGACCCTCAGGAGCAGCAAAGCTGACAGATCTGAGCTTTGCTGCCCATAACGCCCTTGTTTTGGGGCAGAAGCTAACTACTGGTGCCATGACCCAAGAAGAGACAAGCCCCTATATTAAAAACACAACAGGGACCTCAATTCTGAACTCAAGACTCATTCATAATTATCTGAGCAACTAAAAGTATAAACTTTTTTCCTATTACAACTGATTCTCAACAGACATTCCTTCAGTATAGAAAATAAGCAATAATCGTTGGGGTACCTGGGTGGCTCAGTTGGTTCCGTGTCTGACTCTTGATTTTGGCTCAGGTCATGATCTCACTCTTGGATCTCATGGTTTGTGAGTTTGAGCCCCATGTCGGGCTCTGGGCTGACAGGGAGGGACTTGCTTGAGATTCTCTCTCTCCCCCTCTCTCTGCCCCTCCCCCACTCATCCCCCCCTCCTCAAAACAAATAAATAAACATTAAAAAACAGAGAACAAGCAATAATTGTTCAGCCATATCTACTATACTTTTGCCTTAGAGGCAGCCCAGCAGAGGCTGTAAATGATCCACACTCAGGAAATAATTCACACTCTCTGAAATCCGACTTAGAGTGATCAGAACCCCTAGGGTGAAGGGTTCTACAGCTCACCCCCACGTTACTGTTTAAACCTAAATATCACTAAAAAAAAAAAAAAAAGAAAGAAAGAAAGAAAGAAAAGAAGCCTATGTTTGATAAAAATAGAAATAACCATCTTATTTATACTCATCTTGGAGTTTTTCCTAGGATATTGGGGTTGGGAAAGGCTTTGGGCATGAAGCAGTTCAAGCTCAGTCCCACGGCGTAAGATGACTTCTTCCAAACAAACAGAAAAGGAAAATACTCGCCTTCAGTGACTCTCCCACCAATAACCTGGGTCTAGAGTTGTTCTAGAGTTTTGGCCTGGAGTCCGGTCTAGAGTCTAAAGAGTCTAGACTCCATGTACACCAATGACCTTCCCTCGTGAGGAAGATGGGAGGTCTGAGCACCTTGAGAACCAGGGGTTTAGTTATTAGACTGATGTGACTCCCTAGAAGGCATTCCCAGAGATGTTGCCGAGAGCCAGAGGAAAAAAAAGACTCTGGGCTAAAATAAGTTTGGGGGGATACGGGTTAAACAATAAAGACAAGAGTCTCTCTCCAAAGGGACCGAAGTCCCTAATGTGCTAACGTTATGATGAATGTCTGAGGGGAAATTGTGTTCCCCTAAATGACACAATCATGAAATTTTTTGTGCATAAATCATCTTCGGGTGCTGTGGAAATTTGCTAGCTGCACTTTAGAAACATTGTCTTGGAATAAAAACTAGATTAGGAGAGGTGTTTTTTTTTTTTCCTCAGGTCAGTCTAAGAGTCAACCAAGAGCTTACAAATTCCAGATGACAGTAGCACGAATGACACTTTTTGTAGAAACTATTTTCCTTTCAGGTGTCCCCGCTTGCGCACGCGCACACACACACACACACGCACACAAACGTGGCAATGGCCTCACTCAAAAAATGTCTTCGGGCAAGATGACAAAAACGGTAAGAAGGCGAGGCAATGTTTGTGGCTGTTTCAGCCACTTTATATAGGTTACATGTGTTGGGCAGTAATCTTTGCTTCATTTCACAGGTGAGAAATCTGAATTCTGGATCCTGCATAGGCAGTAAACACAGAACCGGGATCAAGCCTCTTTCTGCCCACATTCCATAACCTTGCTTACTTCCACCCAAAAGCTCAACAATAATAATCGCTAACTCCAAGCACTGGGCTAAGGGCAACCAGCACAGGCGCTGGTCTCGCGGAGTTTGCCATTGAGGGGAATGAACAGACCCGAAGACAAATTCAGCTAAGATTGGCGTTGTAGTCACTATTGGGCTCTGTTCTCTAACATCTATTCTACCCCAAAGGATCAAACAAAACCAGTCGTGGTGACTCTATTCTGCCTGCCAGGAACTCATTCAGGAAAGGGCATGTGACTCGATCCTTGCCAATCAGACATGAGGAGAAGTCAGCCAAGGGCTCTGGAACAGGTCTCCCCAGTCCCAAGAAAGCAACACGGAGAAAACAGTTGTGCTCGTCTTTTAGACGCTGTCGTACCTGCATGTGATTCCCTGAACGGCTGCAATCGTCCTGCTTGAGACTGAGGAGGAAGCCCAGTCAGTGAGGAGCAGAAGGCAGAGCTGGACAAGTGGGTGGGAGGCAGATCATAAAAGGCTTTATGTGTTGGGTGACTGTATAATTTCCCACCCAACCCAGAGCACTTCTGAGAGTGAACTCGGGGATGCTACTAATAAATATGCTGAGCTAACAGGCACAAAAGGGACAGATCTTCTTGCATCCGATGCCAAGGAGTGTGGGCTTTGCCTGGGTCTGGGCACTTCACAGCTTTTAAGGAAAGGAAGGCAGCTTAGTTACACCTTTCTGGCCACAGTGGGGAGAAGAGGTTCATGGAACAGGCCAAGAACTGGGATAAGGCTGGAGGCATGGTCCATAGTAGAGAGGTGGAAGGACTGACCATGGACATGTCATCGAGATGAAAAGGATGAAAAGTGTTTAGAAGGAAAATAACTGGGAGAACCTGGAGGCTGAGTAGCTCTGAGGGAAGAAGATGGGATTCTGAGGATGGAATCCAGTTCCTGGCATGGACGTCTACATGAAAGATGGTGTCACTTCCCAGGACTGGGGCCACATGAAGGCCACAGTCCTCACCTCACCCCGGGGAAGGCCTCAGTGACCAAACTCTGAAGACTGGGGTAGGCTGAGCTCCCCTGGACCCGCTGAAGAGGCTTGTGTGTGAGATGGCATCTTGAAGGGATTCGTAGAAAGTAAATTAGGGGTGGGGGGAAATTGTTTGTTCTGACAAAGATTAAGAATGAGAGAAAAATGTGAGGGACAAGAATCAGTTAGTGGCTCATCTATCAGACTGTCAACAAGAAAAGACTCAGGGCAACATATTGTGACGTGTTTGACAAACTCCAGGACACATCAAGGAGACAAACTCTCACTTCGTGCCTGGATTTTAGATCACATGCATGCTGTGACTCTGTTCAAATCATTCCCTTTCTCCCCCAGATCAATCTGTCTCTCCCTCATTTCCTCTCCTTGTTGTCTTATCAGTTTTACTACCACTAGGGGGCCCAACTTTTATTACGCATTCCAATGCCCGGCCGAGGCAATGTATGCAATGTGGTGTTACTGGCCGGGGGGATAAAATGCCCACTGCCTTATTGCTTGGGAATTCATTAACTCATTCATTTAACAAATACCTCTACTGAACACCATTATGTGATAGGTCTGTCCTTTCATCACAGAGAACAGAAAACAAGGCATGATCAGTGCATGTCCGGCCAACTTCCAGGCTGTTTGTTCATGCCTGTAATCTAATCCAATAAGGACACCTGATAGGCTGGTGGTGTTTGTCCAGAAAACACCGCTCTCTCTCCTCCCAATTTCCCTTCCAAATCGATGACCTTACGACGCACTCTACAAGAGCCACAGAGAAAAACATAAAGAGGCTAACTGAAGTTGGCCTTGAGTGTGACCACGATCAAATAATACACAGTTTCTGTAGGCCAACGATGAGTTTTCTCTTTTCCTATTATAGCTCATCTTGCAAAAAGACCCTTCGGAGCCTAAGAAGACCTTCCCTCTTTCTGTATTCTGTCGTCAGTGCCTTCAAAACCACAGCGTCTATCGCCAACTCTCATGGTTGGTGGTGCTCAAAGCGAGAGCGGCCTTAGGATGACTCAAAAATAGTTCACCTCTTAAGGGAAAACTCCTTTCAGTTAATGAGAGCTCCCCTATTTGGTCATTCATTCAGTGTGTTTTCTATTGGCTTCTCTCTATAAAGTCCCCGTCCCAGGTGTTGGGGACACAGAAAACACCCATAAATAACCCTCCCTCTTGGAGCTTTTACTCTGGCAGGGACATCAAACAGTAAGACAGTAATTATTCGATTAATGTTTTAATCACGATTATGATGAGTGCTAGGAAGGAGTACAGGGGCTAAGAAAGCCTGGAACAGGGGACCTGACCTCATCCGGAGAGATAAGGAAGACTTCCCAGAGGGAAAGGAGATGTCGCCAAGGGAAAGGGGGAGGTGAGTTTCTAGAAGGAAGATGAACCTGAGATAAGGGCCTTAGATGAGAAGAAGCATGGGGTTAGGGGGTCCCCAAGGAAGAGCAGTGTGGCTGGCACTTAGAGAGAAGAAGCAGAGAAAGGTCTGGAAAAGTTGTAGAGGAGGCAGTTTTCAGTTAAACAATGTTCACGTGACTTAGAGTTGCCCCTCGAACCACACAGGTTTGAACTGCGTAGGTCCACCCATAAGGGGATTTTCTGCGATACATAAGGTACAGTACTGTACATGGATTTTCTCTTCCTTATGATTTTCTTAACGTTTCCTTTTCTCTAGCTTGCTTTATTGTAGGAAGACAGCATGTAATACATATAACATACCAAATGTGTGTTAATCTACTGTTTATTTTATGGGTAGGGCTTCCGGCCAACAGTAGGCTATTAGTGGTTAAGTTTTGGAGGGAGTCTAAAGTTAAATGTGGAATTTCAACTGCTTGAGGGGTCAATGCCCCAACCCCCGCGTCGTTGCTCAAGGGTCAACAGCACTTTGGGGGGATTCATACCACTGCTTCGAAGGCCTGCGATAATGGTGAGTGGACCGGGAGACTCAGACGTTTGCTAGAACGGGCACAACCAGAAAAGAAACAGGAATGTGTATGACTCATTCCTACTGAAGCCAAGGGAGGGAGTCTCTGGTGCTGCTCACCTAGTACCTGACAGTGAACAGCCTCACAAGACCCTTATTCTTACATTTGTCATCTCTCTGGTGATTGCATGTACCTGGAAAATAAGCCAGAGGAAGGAAGTAGGACCAACTGATGAGCAGTGTCCTCGCAAGTTACTTCAGGGAAAAAAAGTTCCATCACGGCTGTCTCCTGCCCTCGGGCTTATGGAATATAACTTAGCACAGCCTGTGTCAACACAAGACACAAATCCCTAATCTCCTGGGACTTGAAAACGGTCTGGGAAGACATGGATCTAAACAGACCCCTCAACCATAACTAATTCAACATGTGTTATAGACACCGCTTAGCATAATTATTCTGCTAGTTTTCCGAGTAAAAATGGAGACCAGTCACATCCAAAAGGCAGGTTAGACAGATAATAAAGGGCTAAGCCTTATGCCTACTAGAGCACCTCATCCTTTCCAAATTACCAGAGGACAGCAAACTACATCCCTAACACAAGCTCAAACGCCGATGTGAGTAGAGATATACATATGCACAAGCATGTACATTTATACATATGGAAATAGGCACATAAATATTCATTGCCATATTTCATCTGACCCAGGATACCATATTTTATGACATGAACCATTATTTTCTAGTAAGAAAGAAAAAAAATGCTGCCAATTAAACTGACATCCTGTTGACTGGAAGACCCATCACAATTTCCAAGAAGTTAAAACATGAAAATGTAAGTGTTAGAATTGAAGAAACAAGGTCTATCTGAGGGTGTATATTGGGTGCGTGGCACACACCTAGTTTTTTTCATGTCTGTGAACCTGTCCACAACCAAACATCATGTTAGAACATAGTCTTGGGTGATTGTCTCCTGTTGCCCAAATCATAAGAGATCGGAAAAAGATCACATCGGCACATTTCGATTGTGCTGACATCCCTTTATTCCCGCTGAAGTCCCACCGGATGCATGAAGCCTTTCCCGACGGATGGCCCTTCCCATCACTGCTGGAAGACCTGCGTTCGTGCTACGCGATCCCAAACTCAATATAGAAAGTCTGATTTTCACCTCTCACCATTTCTGTTTTCAATGGTGTTCCGGCATCAGGAATAAAGGTTCTTGCAAGTGTGTGTGTGTGTGTGTGTGTGTGTGTGTGTGTGTGTGTGTGTTGTGTGTACGAGGGGGAGGGATAACTGGGGACCACACTTTCTATCTATCCCAAGGAGTTTTAGCAAGTACATCCGTAAATACCCATGCTCTTGACTTGTTCTCCCCCCAGCGCTCTAAAATGCAAAGTGTGAACGCTCCCACTAGGTTGCTTATTAGCGTTACTGGCTCTTTTCAAAAAGAGAAAGCCTCATAAGAAAATCGATGCAAGGTTTGTCACTCAGACGACAAATCTCCCCTTTGGTAAATCCTTTACTTGGTTTGAATCCAGCCACCAATTATGTTTTTATTTATTTTTGAGACAGAGAGAGACAGAGCATGAGCAGGGGAGGGGCAGAGAGAGAGGGAGACAGAATCTGAAGCAGGCTCCGGGCTCCGAGCTGTCAGCCCAGAGCCCGACGTGGGGCTCGAACTCACGGACCGTGAGATGATGACCTGAGCCGAAGTCGGACGCTTAACCGACTGAGCCACCCGGGCGCCCCTCCAGCCACCAGCTATGAAGTATTAGTTAGGAGTAGGCACTACCGAGGTAGTGGCAGAGATGCAAAGAGAAGAGTGACACTGCTCTTGGACCCCCTCCCCGGGCCAGATGAGGGCTGGAGGCTGCTCACAGAGAGGCTGTGAGGGGCAGACACCCCAACGTGCAAGCATAATGCCCTGTGATACAAGACACATATGTCACAATGCACGTGACCCAAGAAAGGTTTGGGCCATAATGGTAGCTGCTTCGGGGTGATGGTGTTGAAAAGGGTTCTGAGGCCCTAGAACTCACCCACCAATCTGTGCCACCGGAAGGCATGGCTGGGAAGGAATTTACAAACAGCACAGCTGAGCAAAGAGTGACAGGTCACTCATTAACAACTTGCAACATTTGGGTCGTTGGGCCAGGGTCACGGAGAGGCAACACGGTTACTATGCTAGCATGTTTCTTGCCAGTTTGTTTGTAAGCATCCTCAAAAAGGAGAACCATTACGACAACAATAAATATACAGGAAGGACAGCAGTCTCCAGAGTGTATTCACAGGGCATTCTCGCCACAAGATGCTCTCAAAAAGGGGATCTGCGATCAAATGCATTTGGGGTGCACCGCATCGTGGGGTGGGGGGAGGGACCGCCGTAACATGGGATTAGCATAACAAAGATCCTGGAGGTTTCACGGTAAAGAATTCCCATGGAAATTTCCCTTTTTTTGTTACGGTCTACCTTCCTTCCTTCCTTCCTTCCTTCCTTCCTTCCTTCCTTCTTTCCTTCCTTCCTTCCTTCCTCCCTCCCTCCCTCCCTTCCTTCCTTCTTTCCTTCCTTCCTCCCTCCCTCCCTTCCCTCCTTCCTTCCTTCCTTCCCTCCTTCCTTCTTCCCACCCTCTCCCTCTCCTCTCTCCTCTCCTTCCTTTCTTTCCGCCCTACTTGCTTTTATTACCAGCCAGCATTTTGCAGCAGAGTAACATTCCTACAGGACACGCTGGGGAAATAGTTTCTCCGTTGACGTTCCCTCATCCCCACATTTATATGTTCCCCCGAGCCAAGCAACCAACATGAGGGAAGCAGGCCGTTCTCGTAAGTGCTAAGTGCTTGCGACGGTAAATGCTAAGAGGCTCGCGTCGCGCGTGGAACGCTAGCTTGGAAAATCCTGCGTGGGTGGGACTAGACTGTCAGACAAAACCCTACTGGGCAGGACCCACTGGAATGGGTAGGAGAAAGGCAAAGTAAACTCTGAAAACTCTTAAAACTTTCAATTTACATAAATATCCACTACCTTCATTTCCCAGACCTGAAATGCGTCTCCTATGATCCACAGTGAATGCACTTTCATACGTAAAACATACTACTTATTTGCCAACAGTATGATGGGCCCCAGCAGCAGCCGCATGAAAGGAAACAGGACTCCAAATGTGGACCCCTGCACCACGGGAATAAAGGCCCTGAGGGCAGGGGGGCAGGCGCTGTGAGCATCTGGAGTCATCGGATACCCACTAAATCATCAATATCTGCAAGTTACCGCCCTAAGGAAACGTTCTCTTATCGTTCCTCCCTCGGCCTTTTGGCTAAGATCAAGTGTAGGAAACGTTCTCTTAATTTTCTGTGAAACCGAACGTCGGGTTTGACCACCACGTACTGCGTGTCCACTCTGTGAAAGGAGGCTGCAAATTGAAAGAAAGGCTCTAATCCCCGGAATCTTCTAGTATGAAAACACTGGCAGCTATCCGGTGCCTTTACCTAGGAAATGGCTGGGGGATGGGCCGTGTCCCCAGAAGGGGGAACTTCTGACCCCAGAGAAGCCTCAAAGTGAGACGCTTAGCCAAGGTCCCCTCACTCCAGAAAATTCTGCCCCTATAATGAACAGCATAGCATTTTGTGTGCATAGCCACTTACTGTATTTCATATAAAGGCTTGATCTTCAGTGATACCCACAGCCAAATTGCTGTACTGTTTTATCTAGTTTAATCGTGGGTGATTTATCTTCATTACTGATCATGTATCTTTGAAACTTATGTACTATTTGTCACCTTGGTTTCCATTCATTTTAAACCTAAATTTTGATCTATTTTTCATAAGCACGATAATAATCCTGTTACATAATTACAGACCATATGATTATACATAATTACGTGATATGATTATACCTATCATATATAACCTTACCGTAATTATTTTCAGTAACAAAGTATGCTAGTCTTCATCGTCTTAACCTTAATTCTTTTCCTTGAAGTGAGGAATAGAAAATGCTGACGTTTGTGAGCTAGCCCGTGTTTGGCCTCCGCCCCGAATAAAAGTCCGAGGCCTTTCTTCTTCCCTAGTCAGCGGGACAGAAGTCTGTGATCCCTTAAAGCACAACCCCTATTGAGTTCCTTGGGTTGTTTTGTGTTTTTTTTGTTTTTTGGGGGTTTTTTGGCTTTCAGGCTATCACAATGTCCCCATCAGGGCAGAATTCATAAAGGAAATCTAGTTCCTTCTGTGGTTAAATGAGAAGCCCCTAATATCCTCTGCGGAAGGTCAGGTAAATAGCCTTAGACTCACCATCACGGCCTTTGGCAACTCATTATTTATTTTTTACTTATTTATTTTAATAAACACTAATATAGCAGTAGCTGCTGTATGCCAGATACTGTTCTAAGCGTTTTATAAATACTGACCCAGAACTTCCCCCCAAAAGAGTAACGAGCCCCACCTCAAGGAGCGCTCAGAAGAGCTGAGAGAGCTATGTTGCCATCTTATTTTTAGAACATGCACTAAGTCCCTCAGCAAGGAAATCTCGGAACAAAAACTCAGAGTCCCCAACACATAAATCAGTATTAGAAAAAGAACAAGAGCAGAAAGTCACAGCCTCGCGGGCCCCTCCCTCATTATAATTTCATTGCATCCGCTGTTCTGACCCCTTCCAGAACTTTCTGGGAGCAAAAGTTTACCTGATGAACCCAGGGGAAACACCAAGAAGCAGTAGTTGGTGCTGGAACAATGGTTCCTGAAGTGTGATCCAGGAAACTCGGGCAGAGGGCCCATGAGGTCAAAACTATTTCCACACCAATACATTACTGCCTTTCCACTCTTTTCTCTCGCA